CAAATAGAGAGAAAGATCTGGGGGTTGATATCACACCGATCCTGTCCCCAGAGGCCCACATCAAAAGAATATCATCAGCGGCATAAGCTAGACTGGCCAACATAACAACTGCCTTTAGAAACTTGTGTAAGAATCGTTTAGGACCCTGTACGCCACTTATGTCAGACCAATCCTGGAATATGCAGCGCCAGCATGGAGTCCATACCTAGTTAAACACAAAACAAAGTTAGAAAAGATTCAGTGGTATGCCACCAGGCTCGTCCCAGAACTGAGAGGAATGAGCTACCAGGACAGGCTAAAGGAGCTGAACCTCACATCCCTGGAAAACAGAAGAGTAAGGGGAGACATAATAACCACCTTCAAAATTCTCAGGAGAATTGCCAGTGTGGACATAGACAAACTCTTCAGCACGGTTGGGATTCGAACAAGGGGACACAGGTGAAAACTTTGAGCCCAGATGAGCCACAGAGACGTTAGAAAGAATTTTTTCAATGTCAGAGTAGTTAATAAATGGAATGAACTAGGAAGTGATGTGGTGGAGGCTGACTCCATACACAGTTTCAAGTGTAGATATGATAGAGCCCAGTAGGCTCAGGAATCTGTACACCAGTTGATTGACGGTTGAGAGGCGGGACCAAATAGCCAGAACTCCACCCCCGTAAGCACAACTAGGTGAGTACACACACACACACACACACTCTCCATCACAAATGTACAGACACTAATGGACCCAGACTCGGGGGTCTGGTAGCTGAGCTGACAGCGCACAGAACTCGTTATTTTGTGGTTCGGGTTCGATTCCCGTTTCAGGCAGAAACAAATGCGCAAAATTTCTTTTACTGCTAGGTAACAGGGGCATTCAAGGTGAATGCTTCTGTTACCTGTAGGTACCTAGGAGTTAGACAGCTTTTTTTTTAACTGTTGCCGCCGAAGGCGGCTAGTTTATTGTGCACCCCATACTCATCCTGTGAGCGGTAGCGCAAAAATTATTACAGAGGGCACAAAAGGTCTTTATCAGAACTCATCTTAGATTATTACATAAACAATTTCATCTATCCTTCACACCTTATAGTTACAATGTCAGCTAGTTACAGAGAAAGTGCTATTACAAGAGCTACATATATATAGTAAGTCATTATACATTAATGGTAGGTCTTATCGCTAATACATAATAGTTTGACCAATGGGGATATTACAGAGTCATAGGGGAGCTTCTGTTTATTATTAGTCCTCACAATACACTACTTGTTTCTTCATCTCATTTGTCGTTCATCTACTGGAAGCGAAATATGGATACAGTACAAGGTTTTCAGGTAATTTATACATGGTAATAAGATAGGTTGCCATATCATACAGAGTGAGCTTAGATTTATCTCTAATTGGCTCAATTTTACTACAATCCAAGATATAGTGTTCGAGTGTGTGTCCCTGTCTTTGTCCACACACTTTACACTTTACTTCATCTAGTTCCCTATACAAGCCGAACTGCCAGAGATACTTGTAGCCAAGTCTTATACGAGCTGTGACAACATCTGTTAGTCTACTGACTTTGTTACTTGCTCTATACACATGTTTTACTTCAAACATTTCATTATGATGAACAATGGACCTGCTAGTTCCAGTTTGCACTGTTCTACTTTCTTCAAATCCATCCAGGAGTTCTCGTCTAATGACTTTTTTAAGGGACCTATTTGATAACCCAAGATTCCGTTCAATACTATCTTTATTTACTGCAGCCTTAGCAAGGGCGTCAACTTTGTCATATTCCTGCATGCCAATGTGAGAAGGAATCCACAACATTTTTATATTTACCCTCTTGCTAAGTATTCTTATATGTCTACGTCTAGCTTCCAAGAAAAGCACGTTATTACTTGATTGCAAACTGTTTATTGCTCGTAGTGAGGAAAGGGATTCGGAAATAATTAAGCTATCTACTTCAGTGTTGGCAATAATTTCAAGTGCTACCAGTATTGCTACCAACAGAGAGAAGGACAGCTAGACCGCTGTTACGGAGCGGCTTCCTGGGTGTGTGTGTTTGTGAAAAAAAAATAGTTAGTAGTTAGTAACAGTTGATTGAAAGTTGAGAGAAGGGCCGAAAGAGCAAAGCTCAACCCCCGCAAGCACAACTAGATGAATGCAACTAGGTGAATACCAGTTGATTGACAGTGGAGATGCGGGATTAAAGAGTCAAAGCTCAACGCTACAAGTACAACCAGGTGAGTACACACACACATACACCTGCGTCTTGGGGTGGACGGTTGACCGACGGTTGAGCGTCATGCAGGTCGGCGTTCAATCCCCGACCGTCCAATTGCTTGGGCACCATACCTTCCCCCGTCGCATCTCAAACCCTTATCCTGACCTCTTCCAAGTGCTATATAGTCGTAATAGCTTAGTGCGTTTTCCTGATTGTTCCCTTTGATATCTCTTCAGGTGTCACCTCTCTTTCTGTTCTTTCCCTCTCTACACCTATTTCCTCAGTCTCTCCTCTCGCACTTCT